CTTGGTGGGGCCCACTGCCCAGAAGGGCCCAGCCAGCCTAGCCCGTGGCCAGCAATAGCCAGAGGCTAGGTGGGCTGGGGGATTCTCAGACACTCAGCTTTTCCCATCCACTCCTCCCCTTTGTGGTGGGAGGCCTCCCCCCTTCCAAAACCTTGGCATGGCCTGCCTGCCACGGCCGGCCGTACACGGGAGCCCCTCTGAGGGGTTGATGATTGCCCCATTGGGCGCTCTGCCTTGACTTTTCCTCCCTGAAGGCCTCCATTCGGCTTTTAGAGCCTCCTGGCCCGAAGACATCGAAGAGCAGCCAGTTCTGTGAAGGGATCGATCACCTTCCTTGCCTCTGACGACGGGTGGCCTGTGAGATATTCCTCAAAGGAGGGCACGGGGACAGGATGACCTGGAAGGAGCAGCCCTCCATTTAAAACAAGAGCCATCTCTGGTTTTGCCAGCCCCACTGCACAGTCCCTTGCAACCCGTCTCTGTGAAGCCACAGCTGGCGCATCCACGGGCACCTCCGAAGCCAACCTCTGCTGCTTGCTATTCGTTGCCCACCCTTGCCCACCTTGTCATAAGGTGTCGGGAGCCGGTGTTTTCGTCGGCATCCTATTGCCCCCCACAAGAGCTTGCATTTGCTGCTTTCCCTTTCCTGGCTCAGGGGCCCCTTCCAGTGACCAGGCAGAGGAGAGCACAGAGTTAACCGGGGAGCCAGGCCCGTCTGTGAGGGTGAGCAGGTTAATTTGGAAACCCTTCTAGGAGTGCTAATTGCTGTGGCTGATAGTTCATTTGCCAGTCCTGGTACAGTATTGGATTACTGCCTTCATAAGTCGGGGGTGGCGTTTCTTTCTGCGCAGAGGACAGCCTGGCGAGGTGGAAGGCATAAGCCAAGTGCCCGGGCGCAGACCAGGGAAGGCTGATGACAGCTGTGGTCAGATGCCTGGCTGGCCCATTGTGCCCCAAAGGGCCAGCTGTTGCGGTTTCTCTGGGAGCAAGGCTGCAGGGCCACAGCTCTGACTTCTGTGCCCTTGTTAATCTGTGCTGATTGTCTGATTGGGATACTGTTGAGCCAGGAAAGGTTTCTGCCACTGCCTGAGATTTCGTGATGGCCCCTGTCCCTTTTCCTCTGTTCCACTCCATGTACCCCATGAGCTCCATGCCATGCAGCCTGACCCATGTGAACATCTGAAGGGTTTGTGCTTGTTCCTAGAGGGTGGAACCATCTCTTCCTTCTCTTGTGGCTGTGCAGGAGCGGCTGCTCTGTGGAGTCCAGGGTAAGGGCTGGAGCTGGGAAGGGTATTTTTGGGACCATGACTTCGATCATCTGTCAGCTACGCTCACTGGGAAATTCTGGGAGTTGTGAAATTTTGGAAGAGGTAATTTTTGAAGCCCTGGAAAGGATCTCAGAAGGAGAGGGTTCCCTTAAACCCATTCTTCCAACAGCTGCTGGTTTCCTAAGAAATGCCATGTATGGCAAGCAACTTTTGGGTGACCTGTCCCCAAGCAGGAGAAGATCCATCACCTGGGCGGGGGGCTCACGAAGTACAGGTGCCAAAGGCTTCAGCATTTGCCTCTTCCTTCAGCAGCCACTGTCGACTCCCACTTAAAGCTGCAGAGAGAAGCTGGGGCGTCTGCAGTGGCCATGAATAATGCAGTCCCCCCTCCCTCCCTCTCTGCCCGCTTGCCTTCTCCAGCCGGAGCCAGAAAGAGCTCAAGCTGCTCTCGAGACAGAACCTGAGACAGAGGGAGCGAGCGAGGGGGGGGGGAGGCTGGCATTTCAGGAAATATTCCAAGAGGCAGCCAGTTTGGCCTGTTTGGCACAACAGGAAAGGAATCTTGTGGCACCTTTAAGATGAGCAGCTTACTTTACTCTGGACTTTCCTGGACACAAATTCTATTAAAATAAATCCATTATTCTTAAAGGGGTTACAAGACTCTCAAAGATAACTGATGAGTCTGGACTGTATAGTTTCAAACTGCAGGATAAAATGCCCCTAATAGGCATGTGTGCATGCATGCACACACACACACTCTGCACATCGCCAACAACTATGTCAGAGCAAGAAGGTTCCTCGGTTGGCCTTTTGCCTGACACCCCTCCTGTGGGTGGGGAGGGATCTGCCTCTCCTCTCCTAGTGCGTCTGCAGTAGAAAGAAAAACCTGACCCCCCTGCTCTGCTCTGCCCCCCCCCCGAAAGAGGGAGAGGACTTGAAAACCTTACCTGCCTGCAGATTGACTCGAGAGAGAAAGAGGTTTCCCTGAAACCAGCCAGATCCCCGAGCAAAAGGCGGCTTAGCGTTGCCAGAGCCTACACTCCGCTGCCAAGTCAGGGAAGGCTGCTCTGGAGGGAAAGGAGTCTTGGCCAAGGAGCCTTCTGTCAGGGAAGGGCTCTCCGCTGCACGGGGACAGCCGCTCCCTCCTGTGGCGCCCTGGGATCTGGGGCTGAAAGAGGCCCTTCAAAGCTTTGGGAGTCCTTCCCACCAGGGCCGGCCGGCCGGCTGGCTGGCCGAGAGCTGCTTCCCACAGCCTTCCAAGCCTCAGGCCAAACGATGACACTGGGGAGTCCTCAAGGCGGTGCCGGGGCAGTGGAAGGGGTCTCGGTGGGGGGCCAGGATGGGTCTCTGTAGGAGGAGGAGGAGGAGGAGGAGGCCCTCCATGACCTGGCTGACTAAACCAGGGGTGAGCGCAGTCTGCTGCTCCAGATGTTGCTGGAGTGCCGCTCCTAGCATCTCCCCTCATCGGCCATCCCTGCCGGCTAGGATGGATGGGGGGAAATCTGGTCCTGTAACACCAGGGAGGCTGCGCCTTCCTCACCTCTGAAGCAGAAGGCAGCTCGTGGCCCCTGAGTGCCTTTCTGGGCTCCTGCGCTACCTGCTCTCGGCTGGTCTGCGAAGACCGCCAGCATGAAAGTGAGAAGGAGAAAGCTTTGAAAAAGAAGGGGACGTGGGACCCCGTGCCTTCCCTGTGCTGTGTAGCATTTTCAAACAGGACAAAGGGCTGGATCTCTCGCCTATGTTATACGTACATCCAGGAGGAGGTCCTGGGCACTTCCAGCTGACATGGGGCCCAACCAAAAAGGGGCTCCGGCTTCTGCCTACGGCCCCTCCTGTCCTCCCAGGGACTGGGCGTCCCCAGGGCAGGCCTAAATTTGGAGGGATTATCTAGATCCATTTCAGTCTGGTTTCAGGCTTAGTTATGGGATGGCAACGGCTTTGGTTGCCTTGGTGGATGACCTATGCCGGGAGCTGGACCAGGGGGATCGTGTCCCTGTTGGCTCCTGCTGGACCTCTTTTGAGACCATCAGACTTGGTAACCTTCCGGGCTGCCTCTCTGGGATGGGACCTGAGAGGAGAGAACTCAGAAGCCGGTGCTCTCTCTCTCTCTCTCTCTCTCTCTCTCTCTCTCTCTCTGTGTGTGTGTGTGTGTGTGTGTGTGTGTGTTTGTGTTTGACTGTGCATGAAACCGCTGGGAGAGATGGCCTGGAGTCTCGGGGTTCAGTGTTTGGGTCTAAGCTATCTCAAGGACTGCCGCTGTAGCAATGGGTAACTCTCCTAATCCCCCCCATTACATGACTGAAATACTCCAGCTCTGTGAGTTTTCTGTATTTTGTGATTTCGTGGTCTGTTCACTGTTGCTCTCACCCCTTTTGAGCCAGTAAATTCTTAGCAACTCACTCTAATTTACATTTCCCAAGGGGGTGAGACTGCTTCATTAAGAACTACTTAGCAAGCACACCCTCAGACTTGTGAACTCTGTGTTTCTGGGCACAAAGTGGTAGCTGCAGTTCCAGACTTGGATTTCGTGTGATGGAGGGGAAGGGGTGCTGAGCCTTGGTGTAGGGATGTGGTCAGCCGTCTTGAGTGCGAGGGGGTTGAGAATTAGCAAACACCCCCCCTGCAATGGGGCTCTGAAACGGTCCACTCCAGCAGACACTGCATTGTGGGACGGGCCAGGATGGACGGGGGGGGGGCTCAGCGGAGCCAGAAACATCGGTGAAAGCCCCCTTGGCCTTTCTCGTCCCCTAGATTTGGGGCTGAGGAGGGCTGCCTCCTGTCACCCTGTGTGGCATCTGTTGGCAGCAGTCTAGCCCGTGGAGCAGCAGCCGGCAAAGAGGTGGTGGGAGCCTTTGTTTGTGAGAAGCGTCTTCCCCAGATTCCTCTGGCCCACCAGAAAGCGACCGCTGGGAGAGCTGTGGAGCTCCTGGCTGGAGCAGGATTTGATCCCGAGCAGGGATTTCTCTCTCTGCCTCAAACGGGCAGCTGCCCCGGGACCTGTCTGTGGCCGCAGGGCTCCCTCCAGCCAGCCAGAAGTCTTCCTGTGGTGCACTCCCCCCCCTCAGGGGCCGCTTTTTCTGTCCCTCCCCCTCCGTAGATCCAGGCAGGAAGGTGGGGGGGGGCTTCCTTCCCTTAGAAGTGGCTTCTTCCACAGAGACATCAGGGCTACAAAACAGGGGAAAAGCAATCAGACCCTGCGTGTAAGTGCTGCGTCAGCAAACCTGCTTCACCATGAAAATAAAACCAAACCATTAACAGGGGAGTTCAGGAGATGAACGAAAGAAAGCTCAGCCTATGGAAGTAAGCAGACCTGAAGTGCTTTTACAGCAAATGTACTTTGCAAATGCTAAACAGATTAACTGCATTTATTGGGGCTGCTCCAGCTTCTTGCAGTGGGGCCACATACATGGATCGCCTTCATCTTTCTTGCTGGAACATCCCCCCCCCCCGGGGATCGGCCTTTGTGGGGCATCCTGGTTTTCAGTCAATCTTTTTTCTCTCAACTTTGGCTTGACCACAGGGGGGGGGGGCTTTTCTCTCTCTCGCTGGCCTCAGCCTCTCGTGGGGGGTTGCCTGTTTTGTCGCCTCCTTTTTCCTCCCTGGTGGAGACAGATCCTGCTTGAGTCGCTCGCTTGCTATCTGAGGTGCCACACTGGTGCTTGTTCCTAGAGAAGGTCAAAAGGCCACGGAGGACTGTGCAGACTTTTGACCAACCCTCCGCCTCTCTTGCAGGACGTCCCATTCCCGGGCGAAGGCAGACGCAGCCGTGAAAGCAGCCCAGAAGGCGCAGGAGGAAGCTCGGATCGCCCGCATCACTGCCAAAGAGTTTTCCCCTTCCTTCCAGCACAGGGAGAACGGTGGGTGCAAATCTCCAGTGTGGGACCCTCTCCCCCCCCATCCATGGGGTCACCACCACTGTGGATTTTAGGCCCCTGCGCTGGGACTTAGCAGGGTGAAGCCACGTCTCTCTCTCTCTCTCTCTCTGTGCGTGCGTGTGTCTGTGTCCCTCTTTTTCTGAGCAGGACCAAACCCCAAAGAGGTCTGGCAGGAGAAGCTGCAGCCATGGAGCCGCACAAGAATCCATGTGTGTGCCTTTCACAGGCACCCTCTTTGCTTGCCTTCTGCCCTCATTAGAAGGTTTTCGTGAACCGCTTTCCCCCTTTAATTGGTTTAAATTAGACGTTACGCATCTCCCTTACTCCCAGGAACTGGGGATCTGGCTGGTGATGACTCATTTTGC